GTATGTGTGTGCGTGCGCAGCGCGACGGCGATGGCGGTGACGGTGATGAGCGGGCGCGTGGGCGCCATCGTCGGCAACGTGGTGTTCGGCGCGCTCGTCGACCAGCACTGCGTCGTGCCCATCTACATGTTCGGCTCCTTGCTCATCTGTTAGTACCAACTCTTCATACTAATACCATTTTTTGACAATGATTTTTTTTGTAAATATATTAACAGACTTTTTTATTAATTAACTAACGGCCTGTCCTACCACTGACTGATAAAGGCTCAGATAACTTAAAAGTGACATTACAGTCAGATACAGTACCAAAATCCGATATTTCCATCAAATATTTTGTACGTCGGATTGTTATCTGACGATTTACAAGAATTGTGGAATAGATCCTTATACTTTTTATTTATCAGTCTAGACTTGTGTTGCCATGTGGTTCATTCAAAGAGATTAAAAAAATATATAATGGAAGCATAGTTACTTTTCTGGAAACTTATTTCACACGAAAGATCTTTAAAAACACATGTTTATAGCTAATTGTATTTAAAGGAATTGCCAATAGATGTCGCTAAATCATATTTAAATGTTTACACTTTATTTCTTGACAATGTTTAGTTTATTTTTATAACAAATGAAAACATAATTTTGTAAAATGTATTATTACACAATACAAGGACATGAGGTGGCATCAAACTCGACAACTTAGTACCTTTCAAAGAAGTTACCGGTAAAAATATTGTTAATTTGTCTATTCTATATGTTTCTTAAATATCTCTGGCTTCAGTGATCGAATTATCTGAATAACAAAACGTTACTTTAAAATAATAAAAAAATGCCAATACTAGTTATTAGTATTTTATTGAAATATTTGTTCCAGCGAGCGGGATGCTGTGTATAATCCTTCCGAAGAGCACGCGACCGGAGCGGCCGCAGTGAAAAATTATTTTATTTTTATATCAATAATTAATATTAATATAATTAATATAGTCTTACAATGTATAAGTATCATTTGATTGTTTTATTTCAAACCTGCCTCAAGTTGTATAAAACGTAAAAGTGTTTTTGCTAGTCTGTTTACCGCAGGCGCTATTTAATATTTTACAAATCATTGGGTGCATAAAAATTAGGTAAGTATGTTTATTTGAAGATCTTATAAAATGAAATTTCAATTAACTAATTACATTACAAGCATCTAACTTAATTGATATGGTAATAGTAAAAATAACTAAATGTGCAAAACTCGATAGAAGTGTTAAGTAAAGCTAAACAATTTAGCTGTATGTACATTAACAAGTCTGTTTTAGTCACAGCTTGAACAAATAACGTTTTAATCCTGTTTCGTCAAACAATACTTGTGTACTTGTATAATTTTTTTCAATGAGTGTAAATAAGAAAACTGTACTTTTACTATCTCAACATTCATACTTTATTTGATATACAATAATCATAAAAGCGATCATTTAATCTAACATTTACGAGGCATTAGTAGGCTAAACATATCTGACACAGATTTTTATTATATCCACAAACGACTTTTTGTTTTAATGACTTACAAATAAGTCATTTAAAATTGTTTCATTTGGATTTAACAAGACACGCGTCACGACACACTGCAATGCGTGCTGACAAGCAAATTAGACGCATTTTTATAAACAAAACACAATCACTAGTATTTCGAAGTATTTAAAATTTAGATAAAACAAATGAAAGTAAGATACCATAAATAGAATGAAAGAGTCAAATATCTTTCGTATAAATCCAAGCATGCGTAAGTTTTATTTACAAATTTAATTTAACTACCTAGTGTCATATTAAGAACTTAAACATTTTGCCAAAATTTATAGATTGTTTTATTAAATAACCTAACGGTTACAAGGTAACCGAGGGGCCCCCCGCTAGGGGGTACAATAAAAAAAGCATGCGTAAGTATCATATGTGAATATAACTAAAGGCAAATCAGATGATTTTTGGTTCGTCAGCTACAGATCGAAACGTATTATAATTTGCATATATACTGGCTTCTTTCGTCAATCGGCATTCGGTACACGTGTCGAGACACGTGGCCTTGCATAAATTCGCAAAATTATAGCTTAAAGTTGAGTTTAAATTAATGAATAACAATAGCAAAAAATCACATGTCAAAATTTCATTTACGTAAGTAAAGAAATTAAACTGTTTGAACTTTCGTTATACAATATCATAAACTAAGTAGGAAGGGTTTAACATACGTTTGATCAGTTTATTGTCCAATTTATCCGGGATTTTATACTATCGATGGTGTTTTCCTTTCCGGGGTTCGAATTCAAACTTAGCTAAATATACTATCTACCTTGTTACAATTAACTGCAGGCCAACACGTAGTTGGCATATTTCATTTCGTATCTATATAGACTTACTTTACAAAAAAACATACCTTATTTTTATAGTTCTCTATGCAAGTCGCATAATACCGAATACTGCACAAGGACAACAAGTGGTCATTGATAAAAACATTAAACCAACTTCGTAAATATAGACCGACGCAAAAACTCAACAACCTTCAAGCGACACACTTACTATAACAAGAATTGTTATCAATTAATTACAAAAACGGCGTCAAAGAAAAGCTATTGATATATGTCGTGCGACAGCGAGCCTCACCTTAACACACGTCTGATAACAACAACGATCCTAACACAAGAAGGGATCAGTGCCGCCACCGTGTCGTGACAGACTGGCCGTATACTAAGAATCACTATTTAAAAATGGCGAATTTATAAAAAAAACAATTCGAAATTTGAATTTTCTAGTTTAATTTCGGCCAGTGTTTCACAATGTTTACGAAAACGGAAAACATGGGTATAGACAATAACAGTTATGTGAAATCCGTCGAGGATTTAGAGATGAACGAGAAGAGTCATGTCAGCAAATCAACAGACAAGGTCAGCTATGAGGAGGCTTTAGATTTAACTGGTGAGTCTAATGTTACATGAATTATCTTTCAAAATAACTAAACGTAAATAAAATCAGGAAACGATTAAAACAGTAATCTTATTATCAAAGAATAATAAATAATAGAGAGTCAACTTAACGGTAAAAATATTTAGGTAATAAATAGCCTATGTATTCTTCCAGACTATGTTCTGTATCTCTTTCCATCCATCTTTACTTTCACATCTTACTGATATTATAAATACGAAAGTTTAGATGGATGGATGTTTCTTAGAGTTTATAGCATAAACGGCTGAACGGATCTTCATGAAATTTGGCATAGATGCAGAGGATACACACACAGTTTTTTTTTAATTCCACGCGGACGAAATCGCTGGCTAAAGGTAGTTTATAATATAGGAACATAGGTTAGTTATATTTTAGTACCTTTTATCTTTTTCTCTAATTTTATAAGCGTCTGTCGTCGCCAAATCCGCTTCGAATCATTGAATAAACAGTTTGTTATTAAACAAAGTCATCGCATAGAAATGTTTACATTATAAACGTGTCTCCCAATACCACTGGATTCGCTTGCTTTTTATTTCTGCTTTAAAATAGACTCTGTATTTGTATTCATAAACTTTCTACAATGTGAAAATACTTTTACATACTATTTTAAAGTCCACTAAAGTATTGTTAAATGTATTTCGTAATGTTAATACTAAACCTTTCCTTTTATTGTATACTAGGTGTTGCTCGCGGCTTCGTCTCCGTGAAATTAAATTATAACAAAAATATATGTTAATCACTTATAAATTACCTTTATACTTAACATATATATATATATATATA